GTAATAAAAAAATTATGGGCGTTGAACACATTGATTTCCGTACCGGATTGCCTACAAGCAATCGCGTTGAAGAAAACCATGGCATGGCCATAGTTTGTAACAGGTTCGTAAAAAAACCTATTTGAATCGATATAATAAGAATTAAATTTATAAAAAGTCGGTTTACGATATTCATCATCATACACTCTTGCATTGATATTAATAGAAAAGGTTTGGCGTCTGAGTAAATCTACGCTAAAATTGCAATTTTAGTATCAGTTCTAATTCATATTATACAGAGAATAAGCAAATCTCGTACTAGGTTAACCTTGGCTAAGTGTCTGTTTAATAATATGAATTTTAGCTAATACGAAGTGCAGTCTCAGCGTTAATTTACTCTACCATTAAACTTTGTTATTAACAGCACTGTTAGGGCATAGAGCTTTCCTTTATACGAAATCTAATAGGAAAAATACGCTAATATTTCTCTTTATTTCTCATTAAACTAGTCTCACTTTTTCTCTTCACACAAAATCTATTTTTTTATTATATTATAAAATAGATATATATTATGATGTGTGTGCGTGATATCTAAAAGACACGACACAGGCTAAATACTGATGTGGCATACGCTGTTATTTTACTAAACTCGTTTCAATTAGATTGATTATTTTCATTTGTTGTTTTATAAATAATAATGTCTAATAGTAAACTTTGCCAGTTTTTAAATTATTGTCATCCAACCGTTAGATATGATTTGTTTAGTTATATTTATCCTATGATATTTTACAATCTAACTATAAAATTATGATTTTTCAAGTTTGATTATGTAAATATAATTTTTACCAAAATAGACAATCATATACGCAAACACCCTAAAGGTTTGCATTCGTAATAGTATCCTTGAACTAGCTAGAAAGCAATATTTTAAAATGGTAGCTTAACTCGAATCTTGTAACAACGGTTACAAAGAAACGAAAACTATGTAATTTCTTGTAAGCATCATTTTGTTTGACAATGTGTGTTACGTAACGGCGAGGCACCGTCTACTCTATGATACTACGTTAATCTGGGCCAAGGTTTTTTCTAGATGCCGCCTCTGTAACTTTAATTAGTCTATGTAGATTTTTCATTTTTCATTTTGATGACCCCTAGAATGACAGTTCTGTATGTACATACATGCTTATAATTTTCAATGCACAACGTAAACGTTGAAATTGAAAGGAAGCTATTTTATTATAAGAATTTTTAGTATGTTGATATATTTTTACACTCGACCTGTAGTATACTCTCAAAGCAAAATAGAAAAAAAAGCAGAGAAATCTGACGTTTTTGTAATATTTTCCGATCAAATATTTATTTGATATATTTTTACACTCGACGTGTAGTATACTCTCAAAGCAAAATAGATAAAAAAGCAGAGAAATTGACGTTTTTGTAATATTTTCCGATCAAATATTTATTTGCATATTACATAGCTTGTAAATTTTACTGGGATTAAATCAAACTCAGCTACTTGTCTCTTTGTGTGTAGCACCACCCCCGATAGTATATATTGTCTATTAAAAGAAGTTTCAATTTTGTCCACTCCTATTCGTTAGTACTCTAGTCATTAAATTTGGCAACTCGGTAATTCTGCTAATTCTTCTTCGGAGGCAAATTTTGCTAATGTTTAAGTAATAATATCAATGGAATATCCACTAATTGAATTTTGCCATTCTACTATCTACCTGACGTCCAATATTATTACGTATCTGTCACCATTGATGTGTAAGGAAGACTGCACTAAAAATATTGAATTTTAAGTAGAAAGTACAATGATAAAGAGCATTTGGTGGATATACTATTGATGTTATTACTTAAACATTAGCAGAATTGACCTGATCTACTGAGCGTAGAAATAAGAAATTCAACTTTTGATCTGAGTAATGTATGTTTTTGGTTATGCAAATAGTCGTCATCGTATTCAGCTAAGTGATGTCAATTACCGCACATATGTAGCTCTCCTCCAAGGATCTTCATAATTCCTGCCCTTATTTAGTACTTCAGTGAATTATCTCAAAACCCTTGTAACGATTTCTAAATTCCGCCATCCTTGTTTACTGTCAAAATACTCTTCCAAGTTTCTTCACGTTTCGTGCGTTAACAATAGATCATAAATATAGTTTTAGAATGTAGCTCCAATACCTATTGTGTATTACTTCCAACTAAACATGGCGTTATGGGAAATCCCTTTTCTAAAGTCATAAAATTATTATTAATTTTATGACTTTAGAAAAGGTTTTTACTTTATTACCTTATGGTAATAAAGTAATTATTTAAGCTGTTCATTATTGAGATACATTCTTCTATCTGAACATCCGCCTCACTTCGATGAATTATTTAGCATAACTAGTAGTCGCCCATTTGTTTCACCTGAGATAGATTGTGTAAATCCGAAAGGCACTTTTTTAAATGCAATCAATTTTTTGTTAGATGTAATAATAATTTAATACCAGCACAATTTACATTAGTTGTTCCAGTAGATATTTCCATCTTTAAAAGTTCAAATAATTTCCGACCAAAATAAAAGTTCGTATTGGGCAAGAATCAACATAATCCAAACACACATTGTTACACCAGCTCGCAGTCATAACCAGTCTTGGTCATATATAGCACACGATAGTGGATGATAACAAGCGATAACTTATCTAAATCCCCCGGACTATGTATGGTTAGTTCGAACTATGATACTGTATATAAAATTAGATGAGTTGCACGAGATTGTTGATTTTAGTTTTAAAATAAGTGTTTGATTCTAAGGACATGAGCGAGGTATGGTCTTTACCGATATCCCAATATATAGAACTGCTTCAGTAGATATAGATACCATTCGTTTTTATTAATTTCTCGTAAGCATTATATATATCATTTAAAACGCAGTTACTATCTATGAGACTAAATAATGGAGTAATGATCTAAGATATTCCAGTGATATATTTTGTAGGTTTTCTATTACCATGTGTAGATTAAAAAGTGTGCTACACAAAAGTAAAAATCAAATTAGCTACAAAATATTAAACAAAAAATTGTCACACCTAAAATAGGACGAACGGACTCACTCTGAGAAATCTCGTCGAACCTTCTTGGTGAGAAGAAATATAAGGGAAGGAGAAGGCGAGTAACATATCACATTCACGAGACTCAGGTGTTCTCGGGAATTCTCGGCGTTAGTCTGTCCGGCCTATAAGATAAACGAAGAGAAGTTGAGATTAATACTTTAAAATATAAATATAATTGAATAAAACATCGGACAATTTGATAGTCATCTTAAAGTCACTCACTCACCTTGGTTTTTCTTTACATAGATTATATATAATATTCTATACACGATAATTTCTGACTCATAAGTAGATCTAAATTTTACTGTGCAGTTACTATTAAAGTTGTAGTTATGTATTCATTTATTTTTTATATTGCCATATAGTAAAACATGACTTCTCCATATGAGTATTGATTTCTTGGAGAATTGTAAAGCTTACGGTGATAGCATCGCAAAAAAAAAATACGGTGTAAAAGTAGTTTAAGATTGATAAAACCAATTTAAAAAGGAGATAAACAAAATTCTGAAAACAGTAACCTTTGTATCCATAGTCGAGAGAAGTAACTTTTTGAGAATGTGTCATAAATTAAGCAGATATTTTTACCAAATAAGCAAGAATTCGAATGAAGTAAGAACTGTCTACAGTTAAAATACTATTATTATTAGCTATTAAAAAAATATTTGCTTGAGTTATGACATTTTCTCAAATAATTACTTCTCTCGACTATAGACACGAGTTTAAAACTGCATTCACTGTAGTAATTCAGATTATGTGATAATTAAAAAGGACCTTTCTCTTTATAAGCATCCTAGAGTGACATATCTCTAGATCTTATCACATTAGCCATCTCATCGGTTGGGGAAATATATGAAGCCAATTTCCAACCCATGGTCGAATCAACCACATATGTGTTGTACTGCTCCTAGCTGATGTTATACATCACATATATTTAACTAATGTTATAATTTGACGGACACGATGATAGAAATAATTCTGGGGTTAAAAATTCTAACTTATAATTCTAATGTTTTTGCTAACAAAACATTAGTGTTGCCATTTTCCAACGCTTATGTCACCCACCCGTATCGTTATCTCCTTCACGCACCACTTGCTAATGGTTAATGTTCGACACCAATATACTGAACCGGATTTCGAAACTTAGAACACATCCTTTGGATATGATAATGACTTCGTTCACGGTTTTGTACCTTTACAAAAGTTTAATTACCACTATTTTATTTTTTAACACTATCCAGAAATATGTAAATTGTTGTTGACACATCATCGAAGTATTGTTACCATTCTCACGAGCATTAGTTGAGGCTTGAATTATGCTTTCTCATTAGTGAAACAAGGAAAACGATAAATGGGTCAAATAAATGAATTCTAACTGGTTTGTAGACTTAACAACCACTTCAGCACTATGCCGGCATAAAACATCAGTTCGTGAGTCAGTCGCAGTTGTAAAAAGGCTGGTAGATAACGTATCGTGTATTTGCACATACGGTTTAGCATCGTTAAAATGTCGTCTTTAATATTTTAGACATAAAGTTGAAAACCTTTCTTTTGTTACATATGGAAATTATTTTTCGTGTTCTATTAACAACTTGCCTTAAACGTTCAATTGTGAAATATACATTAAACCATAGATGTTATACGTTTTGTAAATCTTAAACTATAAGTAGTTTTAATCTGTCATGTAAAGTATACTTAATATATAGCATCTATTTATGATGTGTTTTTTACTTATCTAAATCGTCAATATAATTTAACCGTAATGCATTTTGTTTTGTGTTCACTTGAGATGGTTTTTTTTTCAAGTATTTTATATTTCATTAAATAATGTATGACGATTTGGTTCTCGTTTAAGAATTAACTTAAAGAGATTTTCTTTGCTAGTACCCAAAACATTCTAACAATATATTTTCATCTTTACAGAGGCTCACCAGAAAAAATGGCGTTCGAGAAGATGAAACTAATTGGTATTGGGATCCACCATCTCAAACCGCAAATTCTGTCGATCACGAAACTGAAAACCAATACAAAGTACAAATACGGGCTTTGCAAGATGAATTATCCACCTTAAGAGAAAGAGAAACTATAGACCTTAGACCTAACGCCGAAGAAGAATTACGCAGACTACGAGAAGAAAATCGAAATTTAACAACAAACTTAGAGGATTTGGACAGCCAACATCAAGTTGCAATGGAAAGACTTTTGTCTCTCAAAAAAGAATTGCAGAAAAATTTTGAAGTTTTGAGACAAGAACACGAAGACTTAAAAAATGCAAATGATGACTTTGCTATTGAGACTAAAAATTTACTTCTTAAAGTTGGTGAGCGAGATAAAGAAATAGAAATTCTAAAAACAGTAAAATCAGATTATGAAACTTTGCAACACAAGTATCAAAATTTAGAAAGAATACATAGTTTACTCCGAGAGAATGCTGAGAAATTTCAAGAGGAAAACCAAGATTTACATGAAGAGGTATTCAAATTGCAAGAACAAGTAACAAAATTAGAGCATGATTTAGAAATGTCCACTAAACATTCAGAATTATCAAATATGGTGCCAAAAGAGAAATATGAAGATTTAATGAAAGAAATAAATACTTTAAAAGATAGGAAAAACTCAAATCATGATCGTTCCGATGAAATTAATATAGATGATAATGCCAAAAGCGTTATTGAAAATTTAAAACGAGAAATTAATGAATTGAAGCGTCAAGTATCTGATAAAAATGCTGAAAATTATGAATTAGACCAAAAATTAATAAAACCAGAAAAAGTCATGCAACTGTATAATAAATATGTTAATTTTGAACTTCCTGTTGACTATTTTGGAGAAATACCTTCTCATGGCGATAATATTGTATTATTTAAATTAGAAAGTGTTTTTAAGACTGTAAACTCGTTCAAGAAAAATATAGATTCATTAGAACATCAGTTATCAGAAAAAAACCTTAATGTTAATCATTTGCAAACTCAAATAGATGATTTAACAACTGAAAATGATTTTCTTACCAATGACATTCAGCATTATGAAAGAGAGCTAAATGAAATGAAGAAAAATAATGACTTCCTTATATCCGAAATAGCTGCTTTAAAGAATATCTCTAAATTAGAACCAATTATTGAAACCCACGAAGACAACTTAGCGAAATTAGAAACCGAACTGGCAGATTGCAACAAAATGAATAAAACATTTGAAAGTGAAATCAAACGAATAGAAAATGAGTTATCTGAAGTAAGAATGGAAAAACATGTATTACAAGAAAGTTTAAATGATCTAAGAACCAAATATACCACCATGTTGACAGAACTAGATATGTGTAAAAGTCAAGCTAAAGATTTAGAAGAACTAGAACATACTACTAATACAGAACAAACTAAAACAATTAAACTGCAGATGGATGAAATTGATGAGCTCAAGAAACGCTTACATGCAGCTAGTACAAAAAATGAGCAACTTACTATAGACACTCATATTATTGAAAATGACAAAGTGTTACTAACTAAAGAAGTGGATGAACTAAAAAACGCCTTAAAAGAAAAGTCTACTGAACATAAGGAGTTAGAAATTTTGAAGCTCACACTGGATCGAAAATTAGAAGATCTTGAAAGTAGATTAGATGAAGTAATAAGGCATAAAAATGAAATTGAAGATGAGAAGTATAAATTAGAGGAAAAAAATATAGTTTTAGAAAAATCCAAAAATATCAGCTCACATGGTAGCAAAGACATCAATAAACTTGAAGATGAAAAGGTGATTTTATTGGAAAATATTAGACAGGCTGCTATAGAACGTTCTGAGTTAGAAAATAAAGTAGATGAATTAAAATTGGAATTGTCATATTTAAAAGACCAACAAGCACAATTGGTTGCTGAAAATATGGCAGTTAAGAAGAATGATTCTGCAAATAACGAAAGCTCAACTTTGTTTCAAGAAGCGTTAAATGAGTTAAAGGCAAAGAAAGTGCAAGAAGAGTTCTTAAACAATGAGATTACAGAGCTAAAAGAAGAAAATAAAAAAATATCAGAAAAAAACCTCCAGTTAGAGGGTAACCTTTTAAATACTGATGCTAAAATTGTTCGTCTAGAAGAAGAATTTGATAAATTAATGTCTGAGTTAAATGAGAAAGATGCCTCAATTTACACTCTTAACTCGACAGTAAACGATAACAATGTAGTATTACAAACATTAAGTAAAAGAATAGGTGATTTTGAGGTCACGGTCAAAATCAAAGATAATGAAATTAAAGATTTAACTAACTTGAAAAACGAACTAGAAAAGAAATTGCAAGATATAAATGTTAAGGCTAATTTGGCATATGAAGAGTTGAATAAATTACACACAGAAAAAGAAGATTTATCAAAGCAAATAATATCATTAAATGATGAATTGTTATCAAAAAATGAACAGATTTCACAACTAACAATACGCCTTGAAGAGTTGAGTAGCAACAGCTTCACATATACTAGTGAAATAGGTTTCAAAGACAAAGAAATAAAAGAATTGAATCAAACAATAGCAGAGTTGACGGACAAATTAAAATTGACTGAGAATATGACTCTCCAGAATGATGAATACTCGAAAATTTTACAGGAGAAACAAACAATAGAGAAAGAGGTCTCTGAACTTCAGAACACAATTACTGTTAAAGACAATGAACTATTAGAAATGAGGGGTAGAGTTGAACAGTTAGAAAATACATGCTTAGAGTACAAAACAATTATTGACAATACTACAGTTGAGAAAACTGAATTAATAAATCTTGTTAATTTGAAACATAATGAAAGTATTCAGTACCATACTGAAATTCAGAGATTAAATCATGTTCTTTTAGAACAAAGTAATGAATTTAAAAAAGTCATAGAGGAAAAAGAGATGCTGCGAAATAAAACCGATGGTTGTGAAAGTTGCGACAGGCTTAGAATCACATTGAAGGAAAAGGATGAGATGATAATGAGGTTGACACATAACGCAAATGATACTGAAAACCTTCAGACCGAATTGATTAATGCCAGTGAATCTGTAAAAGTTTTGACTGAAAAATGTGATAATTTAGATAAGAGTCTTGCTATACAATTAGAAACTGTAAAGAAATTGACGGCAGAAAATGCACAGGTATCACACTTTTTAATTTCCTTTTAATAATGGCAATATATTTTTCAAATCCATACTAAAAAAAAATATCTCAGGGTATTTATATATAATACATTTAAACATACTTTAAGAGAACACTTTAAAATTAATTGCTATACTTATTTTGGCTGTATATTTTTCCTCAGTTGTCAGAAAAAGAGCAGAATTCCACAAAAGAGTTGGAACGACTCAGACATCACTTAGTGGAAATGGAAGAAACTTACACACAAGAACTGATGACTTCGGAGCAAAAACTTACAGAGTGTCAGACACGGTTGCATCAGGTGGAGGAGCGAGCCAAGCAAAACAGTACCGTGTATACTAGTAATAGGTATCTTATTTCCATTATATTTGCAGTTTTTCACCATTTAAGGTCAAATCATAATTTAAGGTTGCATCTCCGCTATGGTACTCATACATGATGTTTTAAATGATAGTGCACAACGTAAAAGTAGTGAATAAAGTAGATTTACTTTCTAATGTAAAATAAAATATAACCAAATAATAAAGATTTATCTAACAGAAAAACACCCAAAAGCCTAGACTAGCTTTTGTTCAAAAATTAACTCCTATTGTCTTATATTAAAACGAAGAGTAAAGTTGATGCTTTGTTTTATATATTGACCATTTTAAACCTGTGCCAAAGGCATAATATTGCCAGAAGAAAAAAAGTCGAGTTAAGACGCTTTACTTATTTTGGTCGAATAATGGTTTAAACCTGATACTAAAGTTAGTTCTTATTTTATAATATATATTTTATAATATTTTTAGCATTCGAGCGAACCAAGAAGTGGAAACATTAAGAAATCAAATAAAACTTTTGGAGAAGCAAAGAGATGAAGTCCAGGCGAAGTTAAGCGAAGCAGAGGACGCTAGAAGTAGAAGCGAAGCAGCGCTCACAAATCTTCAAGTAGTTCTAGAACAATTCCAACTAGGTATATTCACATATTTGTATTGCATTTGAAACGTTGAAAATATTTAAAAAGTGTTGAAGCTTATAATTTTATATTTTTATTACTAGAATTAACAAATTTTATGTTACTACTTACTATTGTATAATTTAATTGTTTTAGTTACATTATCTCCTTTCGTACAGACTCATGCATTTGTTTGGAAACTTCATTTCATTATAATAAATAAGGATGAAATTCGTATATACTATTTCAGATAAAGAACGTGATATAGAAACAGCCACAGAAAAGATAAGGAACAAAATGGAGGACCTTAAAGCAGAGAACCACGACCTCATGGATGAAATAACCAAATTGAATTCTAAACTTGAAGACGCATTGGCTGGTTTGCAAGCAGCCTCAAGACTTGGTGATCAAGTTGAAACTAAAACAGCTCAGATTAATGATTTGAAAGAACAAGGTAAGGCTTATATTGAAATTCAGAAGGCTAGTGATTTGTTAGATATAATAGTTTCATTTCTTTTTGCCCGGATTCCTTTTGTTTTTAAATTTTGAGGTATTTTAGTCGCTTGTTTTTCACAGAATGCGTTTAAAACTATCAGTAATGATTTCTTATTTTTCAATTGACTTAGATGCATGATCTATAAAAATCTGAATGCAATATAGAGGAAGCCCTTTTTATATAAAAATTGTTGGTTATTGCATTTTCCTTATTAATTATTGACAAATATATTTAATCTTAAAACGAAAAGTACCATCAAATTTTTATTTGCATTTTTCGATATTACAAATTTAATTTATAGAGATACTAGAACTGTTGTGTAGTCAGTTACTATAGAAATACTAAGCAATGTACTCATCAGTCAATATTGGACGTACAGTAAGACGTGACGCTCAACATGTGCACGCTGACATGCTGCATTACCAGATGCGCGCTTTGTTTGTTGCGAGACGCACAATGTCAATATGTATTATAATGTGACAAAGTAATTAAGATTCCTTTGGCTACATTGATGATTTATAATGTGAACAGATAATTTACGTTCAACATAATGAAAGCCATGCGTTGCAACATGATGCACGTCAAATGTTGCCAAGTGAATACACGGCTTTACAACTACAAATTTGTTACAATATATTGCGTTATAAAGTTTACCGTAGCTAAGAATGTATGTAGAGAGACTAATTCGATTATCAAAGCTTTATTCCTCAATGCCAGGTAGATTATGTATTTGATTCAAGATTTGTGAAACAGAACAGAAGTATTTGATTTGCTAGTTAGTACAATGTGGCTTTAATGTTAACATATTAAAAAAATCCGTCGATTTCAATAAGCTTAGGTCCATAATTTTTGTACTTGAGACACTTGTTTTTCTCAAAAAAATGTTATCTCCTTGTAGCCATGACATATTAATTATGTTTATTTCATTACGTGATATTATAACGTAACTTTATTTTTTATCGAATGAATGAGGATTACACGGGATATTTTTTTATGTAGATATCTTATTAGGTATTAATTTTCACATTTTAATGAAGTCATTTTTCAATCTTGACAACGTATGAAATAAAATAGGGAGAAAAAAGCAGTCCTTGCCGAGTTTCTTACCGATTCTTCTCGATACAAGATCTTCCGACAGACTTACAAATCGATGGCATAGAGTTTCAACTTTCACAAGTGCTTTGTAACAACCTTGACTGAATAAATAATTTTTGATTTGATTTGATTAGCAACTGTTATTAACTACTATTTTTATTATAGTAGAAATACAATCACAGTGTTTGTGGATAGCACAGACTTCGCCTAATTGTAAAATTATCATCTTCTTTCTGTTGTGAATATGCAAGATCAACAGCAAATTTTATATTATCGATATATCAATTGTCGTCAATGTTTAAGCGGCTCTCTGGCTAAATATCAGCTGGTAATTCTGGGGTCATTCAACGCCCAGGCTACCAGTTGATATGCAATCAGTAACCGCGCGACTGCATTAGAAAATTAACAAAAATGACACACACAAGTAAGTTTAATAAAGCTTTAGAATGTTGTGTTGTCGAAATTTTAAGCTTCAGTTTGTCTATACGTTTAATTAGCATGCATTGTAGTTGTATTAAATCATCAATTATATGTTTGTAGCAATCTGAATTAATAAATGCAATTTCAGGAACAAATTATTATATTATAAAACAAGTTTCCTGATATAATAATGACTAAAACAGTAATTTATAAATTATTGTTACATACTATGAACCGCTGACTAAATAATTACGTCTAAACCATTTTTATTAAAATAACTTAAGAATTAGTTAGTTTAGCTTGTAGCCGTGGAAACCCCGCTCAAGAATCAATCAAGCTTTTGCCTGCTTCGGTCTAATCTCATTTGGTAACTGTGAGGCATTATCACAACGCGGTTGCGAACTGTCAGATCGACCGACAGCTGTCACTGTGACAGCTGCGTATCTGACAGCTAGTAAATCGCGATCTACTCAGATTACCATATGGGGTTTGATCGAGGTTCTCGGCTTCACATCGTGACGTCCCTTGTGTTATTATTTTACCATTGCTGCTTCTTTTTTTGGGAATGTAAAACCTCTAGCGTTTTATTTCTAAATAGAAGAGGTTTATCATACATTTTGTATTTTTGCACCTGCAAATTATGTCATGCAGCACATTTTTCGATGTTTTGTGTTTGTTTGTTGCATTAAAAATGAATAATCATGATTAATGTTTTCAACACTTATGAGTGTCGAAAATGGAATTAAGATATTGATTTCTAATGCAATGATGTTATGTTATTGTTTTTTTTATATTATTTAGAACCTGAGTAGTATTAGAAGATCCTTCAAGAAAGCTGCATTGCTTCTGAGTATTACTTCAGGTACTGGTAGAATGAATAAAGAGGAAGTTAAGATCATTTTCACTTGTGACTCTCATTGTTAAAATTAAAATTTATTAGTATCTGTACTTTTGCTTCGTTTACGGCTATTCCATAATAGGCATTATTATTTCATTTTTGACTCTTACGATTGGTTTTCAAAATCGTCTTGAGTTTAAGTTTTGCCTATTTCCAAATCTTGATTGCTACTAAAATTTATTAAAAAAATATATTCGATGAAATCAATTATTACAAATATCAAAATAAATGATCAAGTGTGTTTATATATGCACATAGACCAAAAACGTTGATTTCATAAAAATAATTTAGTTAATGTTTATTTTCATATACTTAGATGATATAATACTTAGATCGAGCAAGTTTCAGTATAAACGTTTGTTGATATAAATAAACGTGTTGATAAAACGAATCAAGTGTTACAGTAGGAATTTACAATAAGGTGTTTGAACACCACATGAGTGTGGATGGTCTGTAGTTTCCTTCCCAGTGGCTGAATAATACTTTGAGGTCATGTAAGCGTATGCATCGAGCATCGTCCGACGATAGTGTATGCATGGTAAGATTAGATTGTAAAGATGTAGTAATAGTACTGTGATTATTTATATTTATATGATTATGTAAACTGGATTGACTACAACCAATAAAAAGAGCGAAGCTTTATTTATAACGTACATAAAAACAATGAATGATTAAGAAAATAATTCCTTCTACAACTTTAAATATTTTTTTTAGTTCACGTTTTCCCAAAAATGCTATTGACTTAAAATTAATTGATGTTATAACAATAAAGGATATTTTAAATAGGTAGTTGTTTTTAGATTTTTCTATTTATGCAATTTCGAAAATGTTATCTTTATTCGAAAAGATGGGTTACCATCTTACCAGTTCCTATATTTTCAGTATTAGTATCAAATGTTAATGTGCTCATTGTATAATGATAATTGTTGATAATTCTATTCTTACCCTTTGTGTTTTTCAATTTTACATAGTGAGAACGCTTCATGCATCCGTTACAGCTGCTGAAGAAAGGTACTATAACGCGATATCGAATCAGCAGGACAAAGTCGATAAGAATTTGGTCAAGAATTTAGTTATAAACTACGTAGTCACTTCAGCCAGTAACAATCATAACAAGTAAGTCTGTATTTTCTATCTATATGTCTTCAAAACCATCTGTTATCCAATTTTTGTGGATTGAAATCTTGAGTAAATTGTATCAATGACCTTCCTAATCTATATTGTTTTTTTTTTATCACAAATACTAAATCTGATTTTACTAAAATAGTAGGTTAAGTATTAGTATGTCGAGTCGGTCGTATCCGACCATCAAAAGAATTTGCTGAATATATTAACCTCCTTTTTAATTATCGAGTACTATTTTTCTTTTAATATTCAGTTCAGACCATACCCACCGTAATATCATATCATTTACGCTTATCACTGCACCATTTAACTCTTCTATACTCCGACATATATATCTCAAAGTTATAAGACCTTTTTCTGTTATCCTTAGAACCCAAGTACTAAGGATTCTTTCGACAGTATTGGATTTCAATCAGCAAGAGTGCGAAAAGCTTGGTTTGGTCCGCTCCACCAATGCAACGGACAGTCTCGCTGCGGAGTTTGTGAAGTTCTTACAGAACGAATCGAAACCGAGAGCGCAACTGCCCAATATGATGGGTATTGCTCAAACTACCAGTAGGAGTACTACGCCTACGTCTAGAAAGAACTCTACGATCGGTGAGTTAAAGTTCAATTTTGAACAAAAAATAACACATCTACCGTCTCTTTTTGAATAAAGAAGAAAAATGTTATTCGAAGGAGCTGTATTTAATTAAATTTTATGTTATACAAAGAATTTACCAGTCTTAGGCTAGAGAAACATTGTCGACAATACGTCGGGTTATTACAAAAAAAAAACAGAATTCTATTAACGCAAAAAACTGTTGATAGTTGCAAATTTAAGGTTTCTGGCGACTGTTTAATTTAATTTTAATATTTAATATTTCTAAAAATATAACGTATTTATATGTATAGTAAAAATATATTTGAATTAAGTAGTTTATTATTGTGTGTGTGTGTGTGTGTGTGTTTATTTTTATAGTTATAGTCGCTGGAACAAAAAATAAAAACCGACCCGTGATTATTTAAATAAAGGTATTTTAATTGTATTTCAGGTCCCCACAACTTCGAGGTAGGTCACAAGAGAAATCCGTCAACGGGTTCAAACAATCTTTTATTTCAAAACCTCGATTCGGTAGAGACCAGTTCTCAAATATCTATAGACTCTGAACATCAGCCCAGAGTCGTCACACAACTCGACACTGGCGTTAACCAAACTAGGAATACGGAAGGTGCTATTCTCAAACACGTTTTGAAAGATATGTGATGGATATTTTAGCAATATTTATAGCTTTCTAATGATTCATAAGTTGATAAACTTAAACACAACTTATATGGCTGATTTTCGAAACGCGGCAAATCCTTTAACCCAGTAAGTGTGACTGTCATTATAACATTGTATTTTATACCTTATGTATATTAAAATAACAATTTCTACAAATTTTGTTCATACTTGCGAACATCTTCGAAATGTCGGATCTGCGCCAACAAAACCCAAGACGCCATATTTGTTGAGTTTTACTGTAGGATTTTAAGCCGTCTAACTCTAACACACTTATAGCTTACTCACTAAAATGATGAAACTGCAAAAATCAAGAATCCTTGTCTTGTTTTCGTTCCATATAGGATTTGTAAGTAACAAACCATGCGCAAATATTTTAAGTACATACACTGATCTAAAAGTCACTCATTGCCTCAAATAGTGACTTTTGAGATCAAACTTTATAATGATAGAAATAAAGTCCTGGATTGGAAAGATTTGATACGTTGTGCAGCTTTGTTAATATATAACCAACTATTACTTACGACTTTCCAATCCACGTGGTCTTGTAATGTATGAAATATCTTAATTTGGTAGAAGGTAAATCTTAGCTATATAGCTTTTATATAATATCATGACTGCATTTTTTTTAAATTATAATATAACTGAATTATATTAATAATTAATATTATTCCAAAAAAATTTATGTTGGTAATATAATTGAACATATTTTTCATTTGATTTCCTACAATTTACTGTGTACAAAGTTATAATTAAATGATTTAGCATTTACATTTTCTATAATTGTATAAAAAATATACATTATAATTTTCTTAGTATTAGAATTGTATTGTTAAATGATATTTGCATGTAAATATAATTTTGTTGTTTTGTTTTTTTTTTAATTTTAACATTAAATATAACTTGTACTCAACGATTCTGCATGAGCAATATCTATATACTGTATAATACTATAAATAAAGGGTTAGATACATCTAATGTGGCTCACCGATGTACCTGTGCAGAAGGCTAAATTTCGAACAGCGACAAATGTCAACCAATTAGAATGAATCAAGTAGCGAGCAATGGGACGATCCGTGCACCTGATAACCGATGAGTACGAGTGACACAGACATCTTATGCTTATTTTCCACCTTATGGTTATTGAAACAAGACTCATTTTAAATCTTAATCATATTCGTTCGATCATCTGCTCTGCGCAAACGAAGGCCATATTAGTTGGAACTTGTATAGCATTATCACTTTACCTGGATAAATAATATAATATATAAATTTAATTCTGAATGAACCTGTTGAAATATAAACAGTTATTATATCGATTAAGATTTGTGATATTTTATGATTTGTCATCTTTGAAAATACTTTAGATATGTTATAAAATCGCCTTTACGGTATGAAGAAGCTGAATGAATATACGCCTTAAATTAGTTAACATACTGCTACAATAATTATTATATGATTATTATATTACAATGATATACAATGATTATATTACATACTAATAACTAGTACAAGTTGATTGTTTCTTATTGTTCAGATCTATTTAGTGTGGCTTGTTATTATTGTTTTTTTATCTTATTACATATTTTCTGAGGACAGTGGCGCTGTATGCTGAAATACAGGTATCAACCAAGTTCAGCAACAGATGTTAAATAGATGTAATGAATAAATATTTTAAGAATCACTGGTGTAAAAATTCGTTGTATCGATTTTATAGTCAATAAAGATTATTATTATTATTATATTATTATTATTATTATAATTGTAAACATATAGCCATTTTCCAGTGATTAGATAGATAGATAGATAAAGTCGTTTATTTGCATCACAAACACGATTATTACAATATTATAAAGCTGGTTTTAGGCAAAACATTATGAGTTGTATGTCGATTTACTGAAAATATTTTGTTTTAAACTGAATCTTTTTTGTTTTATTTATTAGCAAAGCACCTTGTGTTAATTATTTCAAGTTTCATTGTATTTTATATCGCAATAAATAAAATTTATCTTAGAATGTGCATTTTGAATAAAATAAATATCAAGATTATTGTTTTAATATTACAGAATACAGAAAACCAAATTAAAAATCTTATATAATAATAATGTTATTTAACTTGCAAATTATTTAATTTACATATAATGTTTATAATTCTTCAGAAACACTACTTAATCGTTCAGTACTAATTTTTACTCTGTGGGTTCTACTGCCTAGTTTGGACTTAAAGTATGAAAATTACTCAAGAAAAATTTGTGACGACTTTATGGACGAACACTGTATTATATGCACTTTATAATAAATACTTGCTGCCACTGATAATACACTCAAAACTATGAAATTAAATAAGTTTATAGATCCATTTTTATATCGTGTTTTCATAAAATGACAACTTCAATTATAGTTAGTATTGCATCTAAAAATACTCTTAATGCTATTGGTCACTGTGATTTCGCCTGTAAGCTCCAATGGGGACAAATATCAAAATTATGGTTTACTAGCTTTAGCCAGCGGCTTAGCCCGCGTGGTTCCTAGATAAAAAGTATCCTATTATCTAAGTCAGCTAATACCCTTTCTGTATACCAAATTTCATCAAAATCCGTTCAGTAGTTTCGGCGTCATTGACCGACAAACATCCAAACATCTAAACATCCAAACAAAGAAACTTAGACATCTAAAACATCTCAACAAAGAAATAGGATATTTAGCCGTGACTGTATGTACACACGGCTGCACGTCAGTATACCAAAACATGTAAAATTTCCTCAGTTTATTTTAAACTCTAACCGCAAAATATTAATGTTTCAAATCAAGTGGAGAAATTTGAAAGATTTGTATAACCTGACGTGTTGTTACCAGCACCTTTATTTATACGGTTATCCGTAACATTTTTGCCTGAGCGCTGGGTACGTTAATCAACATGTATTGCATTTTACTTGAAGTCGAATAAGATGTCATGTTACAAAATTAATGACGCCATCTTTAAAAAAATATCGCTATATCGTGATACATTGTATGTATAAATAATAAATTGTTATTTTAGTCGATTGTATTATTTTAATTCAACTGTAAACGGTTTTGTGAATAGTGTTTGAAATTAATATTAGATATTATTATGAAAGTACTGTATTGATTTTTAACGAAGAAATATACTGCATACATTGAAAAGGTCCAGTTTCATTTATATAAATACATAAAATACCGTTATCCTATTATTATCTCATACCCGTTTTCACTAACCTAGAACAAGGCATAGCTTAACTAGAAATAACTTAATATTAAAAATAGCTTAAGCAGATTTTTCGTTTCACCAAACCTGAAACGTTGGGTAATAATGCTTTACTAAGCATTTGCTTAGTTTGTCTATAATTTTGCATGCTTCAGTTCGTCTTCTTTTATTTAATAATAACAATATATATTTTGAGGTAATAAACCAAGAAAAATAATTGTGGTCTTGCATCTGATGGTGGTGGACGACACAGAGTATATAATGCGGATAGTTCTGACTGGGATCAAGGAATATCTATAGGAGGTCGGATAATATCAACTTTGAGATATGCAGACGGCACTACCTCTCCTAGCGTTAACTAGAGACGAAATCGAGATACTTATTTGACGACTGGAGACCACAGCATTGACCACAGATTTTGGACTCACCATCAATCGCAATAAGACCAAAATGATGATAGTAGATCGTGCCAACAGTAATCAACTAAACGTCCAAAGTATAACGGGATGTGAAGTAGTCCATAATATATTTTTTTGGGTTCCGCTGTTAGTAAGTACTGGATGTTGCGAAGATGAGATTCAAAGGCGATATGAGATAACTAGATCCGCGGTAGAGAAACTCGCAAAGATTTGGAAGGATCGCAGAATAACCAGAAACACAAAGGTTCGACTTATGAGATGTCTGGTCTTTCCAATCTTCTGATACGGAGCTGAGACATGGACGCTAAGGATACAGATCGTCGTAAGATTGACGCTTTGGATATGTGGTGTCGGAGATGTCTGCTCAGAATCCCATGGACCGCGCACCGTACCAATGTGTTGTCGATCCTGAAAGAATTTAATATCGAACAGAGTTTATCGTTGACTGTACAGATACGAATCCTTAAGTTCTTCGAGTACATCAATCGCAATGAGCACTCCTTCGAACGACTGGTGGTACAGGAAAAAAACGAGGTTAAAAGATCCCGTGGAATCATCTCGCCAAACATCGTTCCACATGGCGGTGCATCGCAAGTGCAACGGTGTCTGCGAACTCGACCTCGAAATAACCACGATCACTCTGGGGCAAGAGTACACGACTGAGAAACGAAGATCTGATGGTGGTGTAAACGAGCACCCAAGTCGTCAATGTCCTTATATAAAATTCCGAAAATTAAAAGAATCTCATTGTTTATGTCTTAATTCTGATGTACAAACTCTTTGATTCTAACTTATGAAATTAATTTTATCCCTTGACACATCCATTATGGCCAAAGAGAAAATGTATAATGTCATATTACACAAATCAAAGACTACAGTGTCACAAATGCCCAAAGTTAGGCGTCGCACAATGCATATCCTAACTAAAGCGTTCCATTATCGTTAGGTGGCTCCTTGTCATTAGTGAAAAGCATTTTCACCTTGTTTTACGCGTCATATTTGGGCTTTTATCACCAGCCCTTTTACGTCCCCACTGCAGGGGCTCAGGCCTTCCTTATGGATGGTTAAGGAGGATGGGCCATGACCCTCCACGCTGGCCCAATGCGGATTGGAGGGTATTAACGACTGCAAATGCAGCCGGGACCAACGGCTTAACGTGCCTTCCGAAGCACGGAGTAGCTCGAGATAATAATATTTTGGTCACCCATCCCGTGACCGACCCTTGCGAAAGTTGCTTAACGACTACGATCGCGGGCCGCGGCGCTTATCACCTACGCCACCGAGCTACATATTTGGGCTACGCTTTGTGTAAACAGGCATCAGTCTCCTAGATATTCTTGTGATTCTATGGAAATGTTTTCCTGTGTGCAACGAAGTATACATTTATTCATTCATATAAGCCACATCTTTCTTCCAACCAGACATGACAGGACATGAAATGAGTCATTAGGACCTTTCATCCCGTTTCACACTGGCAATTTCGATACTTTTCGAGCGTCCTATAAACCATAAAAGTCTTACTTAAAAAAC